CTCTGCGACTCGCACCGTTAATGTATCAATTAATCGCCAGACAAAATCTATTATTCTAGTAATTCTATATACTTCTTTCCTTGATCCTTCGAATAGATCGGTACATACAGTACGAGTATCTTTGGTATAGTAGTTAGCAGATCAATAATAATACAGTCTCAACGTAATACCACCATGTGTACCGAGCTAGCTATTGCAGTTGGGCTAGTATGTCCGGTCAATTCCTTTCTCGGTTCGCCCCTGCGGGTTTTATTGTGGCTCTCGCCTATCTGAATACCATAAACCACTCACACTCCTTTGCAGAAGACTGCCCGAGCTCAGTGGTTTTTTTCTTATCCTGTGACCTCGTAATATTGGGTAGACATCCGCGTTTTCACGCTTTTACAGGTCACCAGGCGCATCATACGCCCGACTGGAAGACTTATGGTATCCTTGGCTAAAGACCCACCGGCTAGTCACTTGGCAAGTCTTTGGAAAGTGTAGTCTACTGGGTCACCCGGCTCGCCCTGCGACGAGACTAAAAACGGTGTCTTCTAGGTCACCGGCTTGCCGTGAGATATGACTTGTCTTTCGCTGAAAGCAAGTTTTGCCCACCTTGGGCTGACTTCACTCTTGGCACTTTTAATCGAGACCTCTACAAGCTAGGATCCTCGAGGCTCGACAGCACGTATAATCCAGCTGACGCAGGGGCTTACCTAAAAAGTGTTCAATTTTGTCGTGAACTTCAAAAATTCATGCTCTGTATTGAATATTTATTATTCTATTCCTGATTGCAAAACGATTCTTGAGTTGGTTTCCTTCATCCCCCGTCGTCCTATATTTACTATCTAGTGGGATGGGCGATTCATCATATTGCTCTCTCGTCGATTCTTGGCTTTTCGAGTCTTTTCTCGTCGATACTTGTCTCGTCAAGTCTTGGCTCATCGATTCTTGTCTCTTCGAGTCTTTTCTCTTTGATCCTTGATCGCCGACTTCGATGTGATACGGCTTCTCCCATCGGGATCACCACTCCTATATTTAAATTCAAAGCAGGTATACCACGTTCGAAAAATTTCTACATCACATATTGCTGGTCTAAATTGTTCCATAATACACTTCACTTCGTTTAACACATGTATGACATCATTATAAGCGTATTTGCGTCGATTAAAGGCCTAGCCCATGATCAAAAATCTCATTCATCTACATCGATCCGATATCAAGAGGTTAGAACACAGATATAGCTTGCTGGATTTTTACGTATACCGATCGAGGCCGGGTGCCTAGATCCGATACTACCCCCCAATAAGAGCAAGGAGCGCAACAAGAATTACGCGTATTGCCGGCATCCTTTGATCAGTCAAGCCTAATATATAATTGTAAAATTGGTAGATGTTACGTTAGCAGAGAAGATATATAAAGGGAAAACCTCCATTTTCATATAGTCAAGGCAAATTTGATGTATATCATCCTATTTACATTGAACATCCCAAAGCTCTCTTGATTATCATAATGGAGCCAACCATAGTGGAATTGTATCAAAAATGATCAAATATATAGCTATGTAGGTATGGCAGACCATTCTAAAGTAGAGGCGATATGAATCATGCGGTTAGCCAAATTCGTATATACGTTCACGGGGATAAAAATCCTCTACTTGTCTGAGTACGCATGGAGAATATCTTTCGTCAAGCGAGGTGTTTATCTCTCCGCGTTTGATTATTTCCTACCGTAAAACATTCCGTAAACTCATTGAATTGATTCCGCGTGCAGACTTTTCGTACTACCGAGTCTTACCCACACTGAATGTACTTCGCCATTGATAACGTCTGTGACAAAGTATTCGCCGAGCTGTTCTTTGTGCGGGAGCCGCACCCCACTTCAATATATGTTATAACTTTCGGTGACAGCAATTTCGGCGCATGACTCCTGATTGTCAAAGTCAGCTCCCTTCGATCGATAAAGATAAGTGACCGTTTCGAACCTCCACGTTTTGCACGTCCCGTCGAGAGTGCTACATCTGACATGCCATAAGCAGCTCTTTTTTTGATGCCGTACAGGCTTGACGACTAAAGTAAGTGGTCAATCATGAAGCGCTTTATGAACGATATTCAGTACAGATACTGCTGTTTATATACGATCCGGTTGAATTACTGTCATCGTTTACTAGATTGTCATCTATATCCTTACCTGCACTATATGACTGCAAGCACCGATAGTTGGAAATCTTCGAAATTTCCAGCCGAAATGCCAAGGTATCGGCATAATTTCCGTAGGTTGGAGTGCGACTGACCACATTGGGATCCAGAAGCAATGAATCTCGGTTTGTGCAGTGCAATGTCAGTCGTCAATTTTCGATTAAAGTTTGATAGCGATACTTCTTATAGACGTAAGTGACCTTCGATATTGTGTCTTTAATCGACCGGGTGATTTTACTAAATTGCTCTTGCTCTCAGCATAGTCTGATACTCGTAGATTGGGATAGCGGCAATTTTTTATGTGAAGCATTCCTTGAGGCTGCTTGGGTCATCCTGCTCCTATTGGATGGATTGAGCGGTATAATTATGAGCGGACCGAAAGGTTACCCTGTCTTATTGCTGCTGTGACTTATCTGTGCCTGTTCCAGTTGTCATTAGCCATCAGTCTGTCCGTGGTGATAGTGTAAAGCATCCTTTGTCACCTTTACTAGGTGCGAAGGGTAGGCATGCCTAAGCAGACTGGTGTCAAGAACTTTTTTCCAAAGAGTTGTTGGTCTACGTAGTATGTAGCAGCAGTGCAAGAGCGTCGCGCTGGGTATATATTGCAAATCCGACCATTTCGGCTAACAAGAAAATGAGAATGTAGTGGTATGAATATCTCTGTGAGGTACGATATGTTGTTGGTTTGGATGGACTCCACAATGTAGTCACATCTCGCATTTTATCGCTAATTTATGCGTATAAAGCTTACAATTCGTGATAAGTAAAGAGAAATAACGGTAGTCCAATGACTTGTCCCCGCTGCTGTTTTCATAGTCAAAATTATCTCAGAATTTGCCTGATAACTGTGCCACTAAAAAGGCAAGTCACATTTTGGATCAACAAATCCGCACACTAATAGTTACTGTTGCCATGCCTGTCTGGCCCGCTGACGTTTATCTTGCTTGTATTATAAATGCTGCAGGCAGTCCGTTTTATAAGATAGAGGCGTTAGGATTAAAGAGTTTTATATTCGATGGGCCACATGGCTTCATTCATTTAATTTACCTGCTGTAGACACCCTGGTGATGTTCTTGCAGAAAAATAGGGGACCGTGCGTCATAAGCGTATTGGACGTTTTGTAGAGGTTATGCAACTGCCGCCCTTTTAATATTGTCAAGACAAGAGTAAAAGTGATCGCCGAATATGTCAAGAAAACTCCTTTGAAGAACGACTTGTTTCGTTTGATCTCTGTTTTATGTGTAGGCTCTGAACAGCCTCTGTTGCTTAGCCCTATAACCAACTTTTTATTTAGTATCGTGCGGAGCTGAGAAGACGATGTGCTTATTGCGCTTGGCAGAGCAGTTTCTGAAGGGATATCGGTCCGAGGTCCTTTGTCGGCGGGAGTTGAGCCGGTCATATCTGCAATATGGTCGTTTAAACTTTTTGATCCATGCCTTACAATGTAAGTGAGGCCGCCCTCAATGTCGCTGTATATAAGGGACGTTTGCACGGTCTCTGACAGGCGAAAGCAAAAATTTACTCGCTTTGGAGTCGTGGACAGCGCGCTAGAATGCTGTACAGATATCGAACCCGTCGGTCCTCTTACAAGCCGCCTCTGGCGTTACTTCTTCGGGAAGCATGATCATTAGCCGACGACATCACCGTCGACAGCTGGAAACATCACCACTTCGACTACAAAGATCGATGTACCATCGAGTGGCCAATATTGCTATGAACACATGTACTCCGGGAAGAGTGCACGGTCCCTCGGATCGCCAAGTCGTCACGAAATGTGCGGTCTTTTTCGACAACGACGTCAATCATTGGCTTGAAGCATAATGAGCTGAGCACTTCAAACTTTAGGGCCCCGCGATGACCGTGAGGAGCCTGGTTCTTTCCCGGCACCACCTTGCGCTAGCGCCGCTCGGCTGTCCGAGGACAATTTCGTGCTCCGTATATACCAGTCGATGTTGGACGGTAAGTTTGTTGCCAGTAGACAGGATTGAGCGGATCGTTACCTATTATTCCTCACCTTCTCACTCACTCACCCACTTACCCACTCACTCATCCATCGCGTATACCCAAACTATTATTCGATTACCGTTGAATTTTCGGTTATGATGTGCGCATTTACTATCTGCAACTTTCGGTGGTCAATGTGCATATCTGTGTCTACAAGCCATACATATTTTGCATCCCGACTAGGGTATAGTACTCGCGCTAGTTTGGGAACGCGATTGAAGAGCTAACATACACACCAGCAGGCATGGCCTTGTTACCTAGGTCGAGCAACAATTACCATCTTGGCCGGAGGACATACGTGGCGATCACTGTAAATAACGCGTTTAAAGAATGAGCTGCAGCAGACACTATTCTTGCCGAATCTTAGATCGACATCTCAATTCTGATTTCGAGCTTCTAGCTTCGTAATCTCGTTGACTTGCTGCTCTCGTTGCACTGACTTACAGACGTAATGGTACAGAGTCAAGCGCTATCTCACACTAGCACGAGCATGCGGTATGCAGGATGAGAACGCAGGTTTAGTCTCAAACGATGTGAATCCAACTTGCTTCCAGCCAAAAACATAAGCGATACAAGCAACACAACGTTGCTGCCTAGCTCTTCAATTAGGCATCAGCAATGGCCTAACTAGCAGATGAAGCTGCACACAACTAGAAACGAGTCGAGCTGGCAAATTCGATTGACGTACGTAACACACAAACCTTTCTCAGGATGACTGCTACGTCTGGCTTCATCGGCTCAAGCCTGATGCGCTAGCATTCGTCATCATGACGCTGTGCTTTTGGGCTAGCAGCTGATCAGTGCTTAGCAAGTCTTTCTTTAGTCTTCCGGCGATACTTCAATGATCGTTGGACTGGGTACAATGTACGCGTCCTTTGAGCCGGCAACCACGCAGCCCACGATCCACGCAGGTTTGTCATCGAGCTCACGCAGCTCTTGAATACAACGCTTTTGCGTTCTCCGCTGGTAGACAAAGCAGCAGTCCGCCCGACGTTTCGGCTGCAAAGCCATCCAGAAGCTTGAAAGGGTTTCCAATCACCTTGTTCACCTCGACCATGTTCTTGATAATTGGAAGCGTGTGCAGCTCAAACGAGACGTCGGCCAATTGCGACTTGGCCTGGTTGCGCGCGTGGGCAAGAAGACCAAAGCCCGTCACGTCGGTCGCAGAGTGCGCACCATGCTAACAACCAAGCCACACAGCCACGTGTGAGTCCGCGCATGCCATAAGCAAATTGCTACAACCACTTGCACAAATGATCTTTCGACACCGACCTTGTGCATCATCTTTGCTGCGTTCAGGTTGAGTCGACTCATCGACTCGGACGCCATCTCGAAGGCCACGTCGGCATCGTCGGACGTCACGACCTGAGCCACACGCTGCCACTGCTCGGGTTTTTTCTTCCACTGGAACACATTCACTGCAACTTGCGTGCCAAGAGGCTTTGTCAAGACGATCACGTCGCCCACGACCGCGTTCTCGGGACGAATAATTTGTGCCTCTGCAACCATTGCACCCACGAGTCAGTCAGCTCAGCAGCTTTCCAGTGCATACGCACCACCACCTCACAACTATTGGCAAGAAGAAAACAGACGAGTGCAACCCACCGCTTCGCACGCTCATGGCGACACCGCCAACAATAGGCCATGGGTTCATGACTGTCTGGCCGCCCGTGACGTTCGTCTGCGCCTTGCGCGCCAGGTCATTGAACCCGCGGATCATCTCCGTCGTGACGACGTCGCGCTGTTTCTCGCTCATGTCGCGACACACGCCCAGGATCATGAGCATCGTGTCGACTTCAGTGACACCCATAGCGTAGACGTCTGATAGGACATTGGCACAGGCGATCTGGCCCTGGACATAGGGGTCTTCGACCGAAGGGAAGAAAAAGTCGGTGGTCGACACGAGGTACAGGTCCGATCCATGGGCGATCTTGACCACACTCGAGTCCATTCCCGGCGTCTCGTTGGGCTTCACGTCGGTCGGCATGACGTTGTCCAAGTAGCTCAGGAGTTTAACTTGCGGGAGTTTGCAGCCACAGCCTTTGAGGGCACTGAAATTGGTCAGCACAAAGTCGGGGGCGAGACCGATCGACTGGGGATCAAACGCTGCTGCCGTTGCGGCTCCACGGGCTGTCGTAGCAGGAGAAGCGGTCGCGAATTCGCGTTCAATGACCGCGTTGGTCTGTCGCGCCGCTGCTTCCATGAGAACAGAGCGCTCGATAGTGATGGGATCAATTGAGGCGGTGGGGTTGACACGCCTGAAAGTGGGTATGGGAGTGGCGAACGAGTTTTGGATGGAGCTCTGTTGACGATATTAGCTGCAGGTCGGCTGGACGAAATCCATTTGACGGACCGTTTGGTTGGGTTGGGTTGGGTTGGGCTGAATTGGGCTGAATTGGGTTGAATTGGGCGTGGACGGACATGTAAAGTCGACCGTAGTAACTTGGGCAGGATGAACTGCATCCGTTGAGCTCCGATCATCCGCTGGTTTGATCGGTCAGAAGCCGACTACAGGAGAGACGAGCAGACGGCATTGCTGAGGCAGCTCGACGCGTTTGACGTTAGATGGAACAAGAAACGAAAAACTTGGCTGAAGAGAGCGCAAGAAGCACAAACACGGGCAGTGAGTGGCAGCTCATACGTCTTGACGTTGTGTCCATCATCAGTTTTGGATGAAGCGAGGAACGAGTAAGTCTGGTGGACTCACTTGTTGTCGAAGATCAACTACCCATCGAAACGCCCTGTACGGCGTGCTTCTTGGGTTGGGTGACGAAAGAAGCTTTGGTTCTCTTACTCCATTGTCGTGTGCGAGACTTCCTGCATTGTTCAATGCTGGCAACGTACGTATCAAAGCTGCACTGGCTGACCACGTGGACAATGCTCACGCACGTCGAAGTCTCCGTATCAGCACATGTCGTTGATCCTGTCCATTTGCTCGCGACGTATCGCTTGTGTTTTGCCACCGACCGCTGAGCAAACTCACTGACTTTCATCGAGGTCATTGCCTGCCAAAGCACCACATCATCAGAGACATTGAACTGGCGGAGACGTCCTGAGCTGCGATCCTCGTCACGGCAATGAATAAACACTCTCTCGGCTCTGGGGAATAGACGGCGACGATCACTGGAAAAACAAAACAGAGGAAAACACATCGCCATCGGGTACTTCCACACGCGTTAGTCATATAGCGCAGTAGTGGCCCATGCAGACTGGACACAGCAAACATTATCATCTATTTGCGGGACCTGCAGTGTTAGCTGCATACTTTTCAGTTACTAAAGCGTTAGGATTCAAGCGGATCAAAACTGTATACCAGCGCCAGCTCGCTGTCATGGAGCGGCGCGCGTCAAAGCGCCTGTGGTGCTTCGGGCCAAAACTTTGCAGCCTCCTGCTTATCGGACCGCCACAATGATCGCAATGATCGCGACAATCACCACGAGGACAAAGAGACCGACGCAGATTAATTTCGTCTGCGAACACTCGCAGCATCGCTTCTTGCGGTTCGCTTCCCGCACATTGCCCAACGCGCCCTGCGCGTTCTCCTGCGCCGCGCTCGTATTGTCCTCAATGTCCACTGCAAAACCGCACACACGACACACACACACACAAAGCAGCAACAGCAGAGATCCCCACCAGTCAGCACCACCCACCACCCACAAGCAACACAGCTCTGCCACCAACGTACCGACAATCTCTCCTTGATCCTGCACGAGTCCGTCCACCTCCCGGTACGCGGCATTGACCTCTTGCAGCTGCTGATTAATCTTCATAATATCCTCTTCTCGTCGCACCAAATCTACACACACACACATAACCACAACCACAACATCCGTCCGTCCGTCCATCCGTCAGTCAGCTCCTCAACAATTGCTCGTCCTGTAGCGTCCCCCGCACCGTCTTCGTTGTAGCGCACGACGTTCGCCTGCGCGTAGAGCTGGTCCTCGTTGTAGCCGTCAAAGCCCTCCGTCGGGCGTCGCTCGTTGTCGTCCGAGCGAAACGACAGCGACGACCGCCGCAGGTGCGCCACCGCCGCGCGCTCGGCCGCCAACAGCTGCGCGCACGTCGCCTCGAAGCTCTGCAGCTGCCGCTTGTAGTCGCTCGACAACTTGGCCACCTGCGTCCGGCGCGCGCGGCCGCCGGCGCTCTTCACGCCGTCCGTCAGCTCCACAAGGCGGCGATTGATCTGCGCCACGAGTTTGTTCCCGCGCTGCGTGAGCTCCGCGAGCTGCGCGTGCGTCGCGCGCGAGTCCTGCGGCGTCCCAAAGAGCGTCAGCTTCTGCGCGATCGTGCGCGTCACCTGGTGGAACTGCGCGACGGCCTGTGACGTCTCCTGCACGAGCGCGTCGACGTGGGCAGTGGCGCTCGGCCGCGGCGAGTCGGCCGACATGTAACTCATTGGAATGGACGAAGTAGTCGGAAGAGGACGAGAAGTAGGGACTGTAAAAGTAGCAGTGCGGGGGGAGGGGTGTTGGAAAGTAGCAATAAGAGTAGTGGAGATATTGGAATGGTTAGCGGAGATATTGGTATTGGTAGTGGAGATATTGGTATTGTTAGCGGAGATATTGGTATTGTTATTGGTATTGGTATTGGTGATGGTGGGGGGCAAAAAGGCTCGGGCGAAACGGTCGGTTTGTGGGGGCGAGCGACTCCTTGAGGGGTCTTATGCTGGTGCGACAGTGGGGAGGCGACAGTTCGTGTCGGACACAGCTGTCGGGTCGAAAGAAGGAGCCGGACGGACTGACTAGATCCTTTCTCGCTTACCCTACCCGCGAGCAAGCACAGGGCGACAGACGGGCGCGCAGAATCCACTTGTCAGCTGACGATGGGGTATTTCGCTTGCGAGACCGTTGGACAACGGGGGGTGAACTGGGCCACTTGGATCCCGGACAACAGGGGGTGAACTGGGCCACTTGGATCCGGACACCAACACGTCATAGGGCAGTGGGTTTCCGAGCTATGCCACCGATGTCGCTACCGAACGAACGTGTGCAGGTCACGTGATGATCGCGATTCGGACACTAAGAACGGAGAATTCCTTATCATTCATGTGGCAGGAATCGCGTTTTTGGCGCTTTTCGAGTAGATGATGGAATCATTTGCTCGCTTTATCGATAGCTCAAGTGTCGGCCGAGATCGGCTGTCGTCAGCTTTGGTCCTTGTCGGATTACGTCAGCGGCAATGATTACCTCATCACTGAGATCTTCATAGGACAGGATGACATTCAACATGACATCATCATGCCACCGTCGTGTCCCACCATTATAGCCAGTGTCATGCATACACCCGTTATGTGACGACGACGTGGTGGACTGCAAGGGCGAGTTTGTTTGCCTTGAGCTACTGCTTTAGCGTGGAGAGAGTATGCTACTGGAATCGTGTCCGTCGGAATGCGGGACCGCTCGATTGCAGACAGGTTGTCAGGTTGTAAACGTACTAGAGAGATGAGTGCACTCGCACTGCACCCACGCAGGTGTAAGAGGAACGTAGTCAGTCTGAATCAGTTGGGATCATGTTGGCCCTGTGGAGCAGAAGATGGATGGAGTCATAGCTTAAACAGGCGAATAATTACAATCAGTCCGGGAAGGAACAGTTCGCGCATACGTTCCGATTGCCTTAGGCCCTTAGCAGCATGTCACTGCTGCCATATCCGTTAATTTGCAAATGAGGGCGTGCATACACGCATCGAGGTTGGCGAAAGAGAGGCAAAAAGCAATGAAGTGGATTCAGGGCCATCTACATTTCCTTGCAACTTCCCACCACAACAAAAAGCCAACGGTGGCGAGGTGGGTCGATAAAAGCGCAGATGACACAGCGGTCTTTGGAACGCAATCGCTTGGACAGCATCGATAATCTTACTACAAATTACGTAGGTGTCTGTGTGAATATACAGCCACTATCTCGGACCTTGGCTGCAGACGAAGACAACTCGTCTGAGACTGTTTCATTCAGCCATTGTTTCCGTCCGGTCTTATGCCATGAAGAAGGTACAAAAAGTATTTGCTAAATACAAGGTAGTTGGTATGCAAAATATACAACAACACTTGATTCCCTCACTGGACCAATTTCTCTATGCAATGATGGTCAAGCTTCATAAACAAGAGCATATGGCTTAGTGATGCAAGTGCTGTTGCATATATTGGACTTTCTGAAGTCGATGAGTAAAAATCTAAAGATCATTGCGGCTGCAGCAACGAAAACATCGTGGGGGCACTGTCTACGTGCCTGCACAGCAAAACCCATGAGTGTCTGGAATCCCACACAACAAAGCTGACATCGCACGTCCGCTCTCAAGATAAGCTCTCACTCACTTTTGTCGAAAGTGACGAGGTGTTTCTACTGCATTCTGTCTTCGAACGACAACAGGCAGACGGTCAAGCAGGTCTACTGAGCGTCGGTCAGTCTGTCAATGTGTATGCATGCATTGGCCTCAACGTCGGCTGTTTTTGTATGCCTTGTGGTGGCAACAGGAACATGTTATTAGCCTCAGTTTTGCTACGTTCTAGTCCAGCTGAAAGTGCAATGCAGAATGCTGACGAGTTCTTCGGCCTCACCATGGATTTTGTTGTTTTGCATAACGCACCGTCTTGTATGCTGGGCTGAGTATCACTCGTGTCGGCAACGATCATAACTATTTGCCTTAAGAGGAATGAGTATGGCAACTTCCAGTGTGTTTGCACTTACGCGGCTAACAACTACAAGTAACATCACACCCGAATATTGGTTGATGGTGATGCGGATTGAGCGGATGTATCAGGGCATTTAGTATGCACACGCGTGTCTACACATGTGTGTCCACGCCAGAGTAGGACATACGATCCGATCAGGTAATGTTGTATACGTTTATATCTGCTCTGAAGCTCAATCAGGTAAGCATGGCAGCGCTATCCCAGAGGTCACAATCACTACCAAGTAGGCGAGACAGAAAATTTTGTGGGAATGGTGTTTGAACTTCACCAGCACCGACATGATAGGCACTGACGTCTCCAAATGGATTGGCTATGGCCCTCATCGAAATAAAACAGTAAAAAGAGTAGTTGGTGCGACGTGGGGTGCGACGACGGCATTGCGTGGTTGGACATGAAATAGCTAGACTGAAAGGTAGTCACTGTAGGAATAACCAAACGCACATAATACACGTATGGTTCGGATCCTGTCGCCAATAGTGTCTTCCGTCAAGATACCGACAACTGTTCAATGTTGGCCAAAAGCTAAGGGTATAAATTTGCATAAATTTGTGCAAAACTCGGCTGCTGTGCAAGAGCGATCAAGGTGGGCCTATACCTACTTCGCCGTAAGCACTCTATTCACAATGCTACTCTTGATCAATTGTTGGCGACTTGAGTAGTAAGATACGACTCACCCGCTACTGGGCTGGGTTCAAAACCGCGGGGGTGAAGCTACAAAAGGCCATTTTAGGAAAGAGTATATATATGCGCTTATGTTGCGATTGAATTGTTGGTTCAACAGCAAAGAAACAGCCGATCGACATCTTCGTCGATGCGCTTTCCTCGTTTAATCTGCTGGTTTCATGTAGACGCTGCCGTAGTAAACGCGTATTTCTCAGCAATCGCCTTCAGTTTGAATTCAAATTTGTCCACCTCGCATAAAAATTACATCTTAATCGGCAATCAGTTTACCTTTAATGTTGGTCACTGGATGCGGAACGGAGATACCTTCACACGTAGTGACAGGATATATAGATATCATCGAAATCGCTGTTGTGTTGTGCTGGAATAGAGAGCGCAACATCCTCATCTACATCCAGCAAGCCCGCAGTGTTGAGAGCTTCCGTGTGTTTACCTTATGCGCAAAGTCAATGACACCGTCTATGCCCATTGTGTTGCTATTTCGCAAGTGAATTGAGCGCGACTATGGACCGATGTTCATCTGTTCCTTGGCGTCTACACGCAATTAGCGGTCAGTGTTCAACTAGTACAATCTCGGTAAGCAGGAAGCAATGAAAAATAATCTCGCTCGGAATTTTTGCAAGAACATCTTCATCGACCCCATCGGGGTTCGCTGGTTAACCATGTCAATGTTATGTTAGGAGCCTTGTTCTTCTAGATCCATTGCATTTTGTAGCTGTCGATGCCGGTAACGACTATAGAATGACGCGATAATTCGGCTGCTAGAATTTCGATGTCGTAGTTGGCGTGAAGAAAGCAACAGTTACGCCCTGCAGTATTATGCCGTACAGCATGTACGCTAATGTACTGTCAAGAATGAGCACAGCGTTGCACCATCAATTACGCTTTGGCATTACTTCGTCGCTAAGAACCTCAATTGATCCCGTGCTTTCTCTAAAATCAACGATACTTCTTTGCATGCTCAATGATATACGGCTTGTGTTTGTTTGAGCCATATGAGTTGCTTGTCAAAACGACGACCACGCGAGTACTGATCTTCTTCGATTCTGTCACTTGATGTGAAGCGATAATCTTGTCGTGCTTGAGGCTGTAAATGGGTATTGTTTCATCCATGCTGTAGAAGTCAGCTATGGATACCCGTTTCAAGAGTCCTCGAATTACATCACGCCGCGCAAGTATCGACAAAGTGTTCACGATTCTTTACCAACGTGGAACTCGTCTGCTTGAAGCCATGGCGTTTCTGGAATGCTATAGCCGTCCATTAGAAATCTACAATATCTGGTCGCATGGGCATCACTCATCGTTGCAAACCGGTTTGCTCCTGCCTTGAGTAATCCACTCTGTATCATACATTCGATTGGCACTACGGCACCCAGTTGGCAAGCCCAATATCGACAACTGGAAGGACGAGCGGACGCGTTTGCTTGCACTGGATGTCAGCTTCTTGCAAAAGCAGGTGCCCATTGCGTTCGCGCATATCGTAGATATGGTTTTCTGGACCGGTGTCTTGACAAGTTTGAACGCTCCCGTTTTTCGTTGCAGTCGAGTTTACTTTAAGCTGCATTTTCATGCTTACACAGTCAGATCTCCTTCTGCTAATAAGTCCAGTTTCCAGTTGCTTCTGGCCGTGACGGCATCGTAGTGATTTTAGCTGTACCTGTCAGAGGTTGTCGCTGACCCAGTGATGGACCGACGGGAACCTGACTGTCGTCATGACGGCGCGTAGTAAACTGCACTTAACGACATTGTACGATAGGACGTGTGATCGATAGAGGAAGCGAATGAACGAACATGATCGCTTGTTTACAAATCGAGCAAAACCGCAGGCTGGTTCTTTTGTATCGACATGCTCCCACGCGGAGGAGGCGGTTTCGTGCGCATGCACATATGCGAGAGTCGATCGACTATTCCATCGGTCTATCGATGGATGCGAAATCATCCACTCCTTATTCCTATCATTTGTGGTCTGCGGGTGCATGTGCGAAGTAGAACTGGCTGTGTGGTCTTCGCGTCGTTGACTGCATGAGCTTGTAGCTCTGTTGTTTTTTGCTTCTACTTGCTGTCACGATGTGTATACCATACGGCATACAATGGTTTGCACATGGGTGTATCAGTTCAAGATTAGTTGCAAACGTCGCGTGCAAGGCTAGAGCTCAATGCCATCCGAGCAAGTAGGGTGGCTGCTGTCGACACGCGCTCTATGCTCGTAAGCGCTACGCGGGCTTCAGCAAACGATGCATTACTATCAGTGGACATCCTCAATAGTCGTGCAACCCGTGATGGTCGGGTGTTTTTGGCGGGACTTGTCGTACGATAAAGTTTGAGCCGCGCAGTGCGACTGCTTCTGTAATCACTCGTGCTCGTGTGCTGTTTCGCCAGCGCTAGTCCATCGAACTTGTCTCGAGAGAAGTCGGGTCGAATGCGCATCTCTCAATACACTTACTGTATCTATTTTTCTCGGAAGATCCGATCCAACGGTGACAGGCGGCACTTGTTGCAAACCGACATGGCTTCGAGAGAAACATCGCGCACCTCACGAAGGTGGCAGGAGCCACTTGTTGCAAATACACAAGGATGTGAAAAGCGTCGCATACATTAGCGAGTTTGAGCTAGACGCCGGTGTGATACCCCATGGACGCTCGTATCGATCAACGCTAATCATGTGATCGACACATTTACATAAAGGCACGATAATCGGGCCACAGCACTCATGAAGAACATCGCCGAGTACGCAATTCTTGTGCAAGAGGATATACAAAAACTCGAGCGCGTTGGAGCCAAGGCAAAGACAACTTGACTAAAGTTATTGTTGAGGACGCCAATTTCACCGAAGACGCACGACTGATGTGATCGAGATGTGCACCTCGAAGCGCAGCAACAGGGCCCTCATTGCCATGTGCACAGCAGTCGCGGTCTTTCTCCATACCGACATCAACCTCTAGCCGGAGACCCCACTAGCCGAGCACTCTGATTTGGGGGACTCCCTGATATCCGCAACAAGCCGCGCCATCTCGAGTCAATACCTCGCGCAGCGCAGACCGGCTGTATGAGGCCTAGAACTTGCCAAGATCAACATCGTAGATATCTGCACGATATGTGACGTTCGACAGGACACAGCGGGTCGCTCGCGTACCTGAATATACCTCATCCTTCTCTCTCGCATTGAGCTCAACAGCACGTGTTTCAACCACCGTCGGTACCTGTCATGGGTCCATTCGACGACGATTGCCTTGACCACTCTCAAGGGTGGATGAATGTTACATGCGTTGCGAAAACGAAGATAAGTCCCGGAGAGATGTGTAAGCAACCAGGTGGTCCCATTGAGCGGTGCGTATCAAGCAGAGAGCAGACATCACGTAAGATGTTGAGCTTTTCCGCAGTACTGAACCTATCTGCGACGGGACCACGTTTTCCGATTGATCCAGCGTTTTCTTTTCTCCACTGTCTATGAACCTCATCCAGATCTCGTCTTTCATCGACTGCAGCTGAATGCTCTCATCCTTTTGGGTGTGACCGCCGATACATGCAACATCGCCACGGAAGTCTGGAGACGCAGCTCTTTAGGCTTCGCTTAGCTTCGAGGTCCTGCCCTAGCTGCAACTCATCCTCTGCCTCTGCAATCTCTTCAATCCATCGTTATTCCTCTCCATCGCCATTGCGTTGGAAATGATAGGAGGCATTGCAAATCGCTCCAGTCTGTGTGGCTGGAGCGATTTGCAAAGTTCATGGCTGAGACCTTGTTCCAGACAGCTACCGATCAACGTATGACAGTATATTCGACGGCTTCGTAGATGTGCCGACCTCCTACTCGCCGCCACGAACGATCGCAATTCGACAGATGCTTGCCGCCATTCTGTAGGCTTCAATGTCGAGATGGTAGCGACGCTTGTCGCCATTCTGTAGGCTTCAATTTCGAGATGGTAGCGACGCTTGTCGGGCAATCTTGGCCTTCGTAAATAGCGAAAGGGGCGGAGCCCTGATATCGACAAGCATGAGGTCATCCGTGCAATGCCATAACGTATCGTCGTAAGGGAGGAAAGAGATCCATACGTACGGCTTTCAGAAGAATCAAGCAACGCAAAATCGAGCAGAAACTGGGGCCAACACCTTCAACGTCAGAATCAGCGCGTGCGTTCAGGCCGCAAAAAGGGCACTTTCGTCCAAGTCCCTGGACTTGATCGGTAAGTTTCGTCGCTCCTGGGCTTGGAGGACAAGTGCTTTATCAGCAGCAGTCATAAGACATGCGTTGACATTGAAGTCAGTTTCCCGTCTTGTTCTGACTACGTTTGGCTTCCATGAGAGATGACGTTTTGATTGTTGGTAGACCGCGTTGCCTCGTCAGATCAAGCAAATGGATGCATTGTCGAAATGTAAACTACGCGGCACGCCGAGGAGAAGGTATAGTTTTCCGCGAGGTCAGTGCAATTTATGGCCACCGTACCCGCAATAAATCAGGCCGAGCACTCTGCCGGCTGTTTGATGCCGACTTGGATACTGACCCGTCCACAGACACGACTGGCCACTGATTGCTCGGCCCGTAGCTGACACTGCCCGCACCACGAGCCTGATGCAATCTGGTCCACCCCACTTCGCCTCGACAAAGCCTGTGCGTCTAGTCGATGGGTGTGTTTGTATCCAATGCACAACGACCAGCACCCACGCAGCTGACCCGCACGTGTGTATCATCACCATCTCAAAGCAGCAAACGATCTGTCTGTATACTCTCGACCTCGACCACCGCCACCTTCGGGTTGGGCCTGTGCGCCCACGTCGACCTCAGCCACCACCCACTTGTGCGTTAGACCTGTGCGCCGTTGTTGACCTCACTTTGCAATCTGCTCGACTCGTGCAACAACTCAAAGGACATTCTCTCTCTGTCTCTCCTCTCTCTCTCTCTTTCTCTCTTTCTCTGTCTCACTCACTCGCGTGCCGACTGTAAACGCCATCCGCAGGAATGACCAAAGTCTATTTCCTTCTCGCGCTCGCGCTCCTCCTGTCTGCTGTCAGTGGCGTGCCTTCGTCTCCGTCCGATGGACAGCTGGCCAAGCTGACGACGCCAACCGACGACCCAGTCGCCCAGTTGCAACAGGACGGCAAACGAAGGCTGCGAGCGACCGGCAATCCATTTGCGAAAGCAGGAACAAAAGTGGCAGACGCTGCGGCGGCGGTTTCAAAGAAGGTGGAGGCCGGTGCAAAGAGCGTCGCGGACGAGACCAAAAAACTGGGCCGACGTGCTCGCCGCAGCGATTTTGGTAAGGCAATGGTTGGGAAGCAACCGTTCCACAAAATGATCAAGAGACGTTTCAAGGACATGGGGCTGGCGATCAAGAAATGGCTCCGATATTTGTACAAAAAACTTACCTTTCAGAAGACGAGGTAGCGGTCGCTGAGAGAGTGGTGATGCCGAAGGAGAGGAGCGCTCGGGCAGTGTGTCCGGCGCAACGTCACCACGCGTTCGTGATCCTGCGGTCCTAAATCTCGAACGTCGGAGGCCGGGCATCTGTTTCGAAGAGTGATGAGCTGTCGAGTTCGACAAGTTTGCAAGCGTTGGACGCCGCCTTTGTTCTTTCTTGATTGGACCTGTTGGCTGGAGATGCTGTAGTGTGACGTGCGGCGCGTTGGACTCGTGATTGTACAGACGTGTCACCTTTGAGACGGAAGGTAATGGTACTGACACGGGTTTAACTTCAGTAATAAACAGAGTCTTTGTCGGGGTAGATGTGTCCTTACGAAACCTCAACGCTACTTTTGATGTGATCTGGTGATCAGATAAAAATGGGTTTTGCGCGCGAATCATCGAAACAATGTATGGGAAAGCAAGTACAGGTTCTTCCTTCGCTTGCGAGCAATGAGGACGCGTGTCATGTACTTTAATACAGTCCTTTGCATAAGTAAGCGGTGTGATTACATATTTATTTATGTGGGCTGTGGGCCACGGGTTTCGCGGCGTAGACTACATACTTATCTCATTTCCATAATTTTTGTCTCATGGCACATAGACCGCTGATGAGTTGAAGAGGGCAGACAACTTAGAGAGGCAGAGGTCACAGACGTATGTGTCATGAAGTAGAGCATGAGTAAGTAGAACCATTTTCTGGATCAATTCCAGCTAGAATAAGGTCAACTGGAAGCTTCAAATCGATGTACTCGGCCGCTCGCAGCATGGCAGTAGTTGATCGCGACGAGGCCTTTCCTCTTAACGTAATCTATAATTGAAGAATACTCGCTCACCGGTAACATCGCTCTTTAACTTCGTGCTTGAGGCAATGTATGCCACGGCAGGTTTCTTTCAATACCGCTAGCTATTACACTAAGCTGCTCGCTAGCGAACTTGCTAGCTGTAGAGAGGAAGTCAGTCGCGCTGTATAAAAGGAATCTATCGATAAAATGATTCTGTAATTTCTTGTTGATCCTGTGCAGTCGCGCGAGTCTGATTCACTTTCGTCACTCCTGTCCAGTGGTCCTCGCCGCTCCAGTCACTTAAAGCAATATTCTGATACCGTTGTGCATCCTGCCATGTGCATCCTCATCTTTGTTGTAGAAAGCTTGACCTATTATGATCGACTTAAACACCCATAAGCAGACCTTTGCGACTAAAGACCACTCGGGCGGTCGACAGTATTGCAACGGTTGTACAAACACGGCAGTCAGACTGCTCTAGAGACGTTGTGGCAGATGACTCCAATTACACAGAAAGCTAAGAGCTCGAAGCCGAAGCAATACAGGCTGAGTAGCAAACTGTTTGAATGTTTTCGCAATGAGAAGTCATATAATTGTGACAGCATGCTACTCCTTGTTTATGAGCTCCCGTGTATGACCAGAACAACAAAGAGAAACAGGCAAACTACGGCGGGGTGCAGAAACGCGCTTTCGCGAGCTTCCACCATATCTTATTGCGATACTACCATAGCATGTAAGTGACAACGCTGCTCGTCGGTGTGCTCCCTAACGACCCACCGAATCTTTAAGCGGATACACGTCGAGAGGAAATGATGTTTAGGGCGTGCTGAAGCTGATGTTCGAGTTCTTGAGCACACGTTTGTCGGCGCAAACGACATCGAAGTATCGAACATGGAAAAGCGCCTTGAATTAGAGTACGTTCAGATCATCATGCATTCTGCTAGTTACGTCGCGAGTGTTACATCGCAGCCGTCCTTGTCTAAAATGGACAACGCTATCGCGAGGCTCGAGAAAGAAGGTAAAACAGCTGCGGATCAAGCATCCACTCACAGGTGTTGCTTTTGCGTCACAAGCGTACTTATGTTTGCATGAAACACGTGACACAACGGAGTTGACACTATTGTGCAGTGCCTTACGTCGTGGCTGACTGACGTATACAATCATTGATGAATGTGGTCGTGAGTGCGATGACAACGGTTGAGACGGGTTATTGTCTAAGATAGTGAAGAAGCTAGAGAATCGATAACGAATAGAATGACTGTCGCTCGGGGGTCAAATGCGTGCGCCGCAAGTAAAGCGTGCGCAACATAAATGTGCAAAGTTGTCATGGACGTAATTGTCCAAGCTTTCTCAAGCTTGGAGAACTACTTCCATGACAGTATTGTATATTCATCAATCCATTTGCTTTGCTCAGGAAGACCGTAACATGGCGATGCGACAAACTGAATGACTTGAACGTAATGGATAGAGAGCGGTTTGAAACCGTAGGCGTCAACCTATTGACTTCCTGGCTATCCAAAAGAGGAATAATCTCCATTAAAGCCGACCCGCAAACTTCAACACGACTGAACTTTGTGATTATGGCGCCACCAAAGCGGCAACGATGAAACAGGTTCGTCGACCATGTAAGAAGTTGCGGGGAATGTCTGTATCGCCAAGTGCACAAGTGTAAACCGTCGGGTATTGGTGGGCATCAAATCGGTGTTGATACCCTACCAAGACGGGAATATCGTACCTTAGAAGTGTGACTTAGCATGACTTCGACAAAAGGAGCTTGGAAGCAGTTGACTCACCGTGACACGTCTTTCTTAAATACCACACCAGATCACGATTTTGTCGCTCACTATCAAGAGAATAATTTTGTCCATGTGGTAGAATCGGAATAACTGTACTGCTCTAGTTATTGTTACATGCAGCCCATACGTCGTCTAGCTGCTATTACTACAGCATACTTCACTTTTGACAGAGCTTGCCTGCAACATGACGGCTTTACAGCATTCTTCAAATTACATAGCCTTTAGTTGCCCAGAAATCATAAGGCGTGGCATCGGTCCTTTATGGACCTCCCAATGTCAAGAAAGAGCTGGTGGTGGGTGTGAAATTGTGAATGACAGACTCGTTGAGATGGCTAGAAAAAAGGCTTAGCAACTTAGGAGGTTGGCCAACTGTAAAAACGAAGTTATTGTGGATCGCACTGACATCCTCGCGATGTGCGACGGTGACTGCTAGTGCTCAATATGTGTTTGCTTGTCTTTGCTAAAGAATTACAGTGTGATGAACATCGTGTCTCGTCTTCACTAAATTTGGCTTGTAGGTGCTTCCTACATTCAGCTATCCCGATACCCGTTTGATCCCCGCCGGCTCACTCACACGGACTCTTTGTAGATGCCTATGCAATGTTGTCGCGTTCAACTTAAGGATACAACTCTTTCCACAGATCGACGAAGGGTAGATGTCACCTCCGTACTTAAACGTGTAAACGGTGGTGCTCCGCATGGTCATTGGCAGGCAAAAAGTGGCCTTATTGCCACTTCCTCTGTATAGCACAGCATACCACGTTCTCTGCTTGTGTTCTCGTAACGTGTCTACGACGACAGCGGTGCAACAGCCGTCGGACACTAGGCGGCAGACATGCGATTCAGCTCATATCACATCGATTGCGGTGTTGTTATTATGATTGACGTGCAGCTATGCAAGGCAAAGCACCAGTCTTCGAGACGCAAAGAACGGCGCACCCATGATCCAACAGCTGTCAGTGACCATCGTCACCGACACGGTCGAGAGGTCGGAACCTGCGACCCAAAAGATCTACATTACCGAAAAAAACGATGTGAATGTCGTCATGTCTTCTTGGTGAGAAGGACATGTAACCTCGAACTAAAGTCACACTAAAACACGACCGCGCATATTACCAATCCACTTCTCGAGGGGAGCAGGTGTAAGCGCAATAGATGACATGGCCATTTCAATGCTCTTGTTCGAGTTGGCCCGGTCGGAATGGACACGCATATAAAACGAATGATTTGTACATATGGTCTACAATGGCACGTGCACATATATTAGATATGGACGGAAAAGCAGCGATGGCCGTCCATTCTTATCGTGCTTTGATCACAGCTAGGCGTTCGTCAACGCCTTCAGCACCTTGGGTATGGTATATTGCGAACCTCTGAAGCAGAACGATGAAACGGGGAGCTTAGATTGCGAACATTTATGTATCTGCGGACTCTGAAGCGAGTGTTTTGCGCCGCTCGACGATCTCAAGCAACCCGTTTGTTCCAGGATCGAGTGCTGCAGTAAATTGGACGCCAGCATAACCAACACTCCAATTCTACTGCTTGTGCTTCAGCTGTTAGGGCAGCGTCGGCCATCATCTTTACTTTCTTCCTGTCGGTGAGTCACGAGGCAATGCGGATTCAAGAGCTCTACTTTTGTCACTGGGCGCATCAGCTCGATCGATCTACATGCAAGCTGAGGTTGCTAGGATTTTGGAATGTAATGACTACATCGTTGAGTACCAAGAACTTTATCTCACGGTATGCGGCTCACTCGGTGACTACGCATGACACTACTGCGCGTCGACCAACGATTGCAAGCTAGTCACAAACTTAGTGTGGCTTTGTCAACCGCATTTGCATGCACACTTGGTACCCCTTTATTGTGACGCACTCGACTGTAAATGGGTAAGTGGTTACGTCACTACTGAGAATGTGATGAGGGGGCAGATACAGCACCGTGTGATACAGTGGACGACCGTCAAAGACAGCATACAATACGAAAGCCGTCAAGGAGCCACATTGTACGATTGATCGAGCTGAACCCGGCGCTTAGCAGTGTCCTTATGAACTGCGTATTAGATGCGCAAGGTAGACGTTCGGTCATCAGGACGGCGCCAGTGACGCCACTACACGTAACACAATTGGAACTCCGACAAAGGGTAAGAAGAAAGTCATTGACTGCTTTCTCGAGTGCATAGTAAAAGTGGCCCTAGTACGCATCCTTCGCCGGCACTCATTTTGTAGTCATCGCTCGATGTAACTAAGATGCGTAGCACCATGTTCTCTCTCACTTGAAGCTGATGTTGCCGTCAGCGCCCTTGACAATGTCCTCCTGGTCGGAATCAGAACTCTCCTGGTCAGAATCGGATTCGTCCTCTACATCGACGACAGCAGCCGTCACCACTTCATCTTCGACTGACAC